AATTCTTAGAGAAAGTGCCAGGTTTTATATTCGATGACAGAGGGAAAAATCAGTAAATTTCAAATTTTATAGAAAGTTCAGTGGAATTCCATTTTTTTTATAGTAAGAAGACAAGGATTTTCCAAAGTATTCAAATTTTAAATCGATATTCTAAAAATGCATAAATATCATTCTATTCCACCCTCCACTCGAAACGACACGACTCAATCGGAGCTGAGTTCTAAGCGTTGAGCCACAGCTCAAACTCAAGTGCCGGGTTATGCCGTCTGATGAGCGTTCGACTGTGAGCCGGTATGGAGCGGCGTGTCGCGGCGTGAACTCGGGTCAAGCGGCAAGCCGAGGCTGAGCTCGCGCTCACCCAAGTTGCGGCTGAATCCCTGGTTGAATTTCTACCCGGGTATGAAATTTCACAGATGGTATATAAATTGAAAAAGTAAATATGAAAATAAAAGGAAATTATAATTTTGGCGGCCGCTGTGGTATACTGAAACCTCGTTGAGATATTTTCTACAGAATTTCCTTGGCTCAAATTTCCTAATTTTTTTTGTTGGATTTTTTGATGAAAAGAAAAGAAAAATGGAATGAAAATTCTATAGAAAATATCTCAATAGAATAACCTGTAATACTAATAATACTAATGATAATAATAATAATAATAATAATAATAATAATAATGATAATAATAATAATACTAATAATAATAAGTAAAGTAAAATATAATAATAGTATCGATTTCAATTGACTTTTGCTATAGAATATTTTCTATTGAACATTTCAACAGAATCGGCCAAAAACTAATAGAAAGTTTTTCTATTAAATTTTTTTTATGCGTCATTCGGGGAATGATAAAACTGCCGGAGAGTCGAGGTAGGCCTCGAGCGCATACTATCAATTTAGATTATCAATTATCAAATTTATCTATTGAATGATCTAACAATTTCATAGCTAATGCGTCATTCACATCGCCATTTGTAAAAAAAAACTTTTTAAAAATATTCTTTTCTAATGAATGAATAACGGAAATTGTTTAATCTTTTGGAAATAATCTTTTTTGGTGTGAAATCGATTTCTCATAATATTCTGAATATGAATGTTCTTGCTACGATTTATAACAAATTATTTTTGGGATGGAAGAATAATTGTTTATAAATTATTTATGAAAAGGGACGTAGTGCTCTACTCCTTAAAAGTAGAAAGTACTAGTAAAAAGTAGAGTGTCAGATTTTTAAAAGAAATTAATTAATAAAACAATGTAGCGCATTCGCTAGGAAATTGTATTCGATTTCCATTAAGAATTTCATTTGATATTCGTTCATTTTATTAAAAAATTCTGCCCATTTCTTTCGAATTCAGATGTTGTATAGGAAATAATTCATACGAAAGATCAATACAATATTCTACGCAACAGATTCTTTGGAGACCGTTCTCACACGAATAATTCTTCAATGCGAGAGGGAAGGAATGCAGGGAAATCAACGTAGAAAATTTATGCCGAGAAATTTTCATAGAAAATATCTCAATGGAACATGTTGCATAAAGAAATCGCAGTTTATTACGTTTTTTCTTCTAAACAATCTCTATTGAATATTTTAATTTTTTTATACGCGGAACAACATGAAGCAAGGAAAAAAAATTAATTTTCAATGAGATACCAATAGACTTTCCTAGGTTTTCCCATCAAATACTCGGGCAAACAATCAGATTTTGACCTTCGAATTTTAAATACCCAGCAAACAGTATATCGACAATTTGTCGACGAATTGCCGATGTCCTGTTAAATTTATATGGCACTGGCGAAAATAGTTTTCTGGGTAATAAAACAATTACAAAATGATGAGTAATAAGTGTAAAATAACGCTGTAATAAAACTGCAGGAAATGGCAATTTATTAGATTTTTTCTATTGAATAATTCCTATTTATTATGTTCTATTCAATATTCTAGTATTTAATTAAGTAATGATTTGGAATTAGTCGAAGGGGCATATTCATTGACAGTTCTTCCGAATCAACCGTATGACAAAGATGAATTAAACATGAAGTTATTCCCAAACATTAGAGAATTACAATTAATTATCGTTTATTTTACAAAACAGGGGGATAGATTGAACCATTCGATTTCGTAACACTACTTCCCTTCCGAAAAGTTTCCATCCCGGCAATTTCTACTAGAGCAACTGAAGATTCTAAAACTCAAAAAAATTTTCAATGGAATAATCACAAAATTTGGAAGAGGTTTAGTTAAAATCAATAGTTAGAAAAATTCAAAAATAGTTCATGATTCACCACAATCGAACGATTATTCTCCGTTAATTTGATTCCATAATAATATTCTCAAAAATGTGTGGAAAACCAGCGGAATATTTTAATTGTAACGATTTTTGAAACTTCTATTCTGCTTATCAAGTAATATAACAGGACTAGCCACATGAGGCTCACGCGAAGCAATCGGCTAGTTCAAATTGATGTACAATAATTGATAAGATGATCAATATGTTCATTGATATGATCATTAATATAATGATTGATATGATGATGATGATTATTTTTTTTTTTCATTCATTCCGAAATGAATAAATGATATCTTATTGAAGGAAATATTATTTATGATAAGTCAAAGTCGATGAAGAAAAAGTTGAAGTTTCGCGAATGTTCTAGAAAACTCCAGAAATTAATTGAATTTTCTAGAACACTTGAGAAATTCCTCGAATTTTTCAGAACACTTCAGAAAACCTGAGAGCTTTCGACGAAACGGCAAAAATTTCAAGGAAATCTCTCATAGTAATAGAAATGAGAATAATTTGTCTTATAACTATCGTAGAGCATTCTCGAGTTCTCCCGAAAGTTCTAGAAATTTCCGCTATCATTGACTAAATAGATGTTTTTAGTTTCGAAGAATATTCCCTCATTTCCTAGAAAATTCGAGAAATCTTCAGAAAGTTATGGAAATTTCTAGAACTTTCTGTGTTTCACCCTCTCAGGGATGGATTTTCGAGAAAATAAAAAACACGTGTCTTTTTATTTTGAAAGGAGAATCTACAAGCGCATTTTCAACTCTCTAACTTGAGCGGTTCTCGAAATCGCATACAAAAATTTGCCCCCTTTTCACCCCCTTAGGGGGTGAATTTCCAAAAACCCGCCCGTAGTGCGAGCTTACTTCACTAAGGGTAGCTGTAGGCAAAACTTATTGCTGAGATAAAATTATTATTGAGATAAAAATTAATGAAAGTGAGAAACGATAAGGTTTTGCTATTCTGGTCAATGAAAAAACAATCGAATTCTCAATGAAATACCACTAGAACTTTCTAGGTTTTCCAATCAAATATTCTGGCAAATAATCAAACATAGACTTCTAAATTTCAAATAATAAAACGATTGCAGATTGTTGAGTAACCAAGAGTTCTACAGCGCTCCAGTAAAATCTCCGGCGTTCAATTACAAGTATCGAAAGGGATTCCATGAAAAAAAAACAAGGCCAAAGTACTTGGAAATTCATTCAAGATCACTCACATATTTTTGTACATTATCCGCTGGCTTTAAACCTCGCTTATTCAATTGAATATTATAATGAATTTTATTGTAGATAAATTCCGACTACATTACTCAGCTCGGATAGCAATAAGGACAACAGGATTCCACGTTCGTCTTCCCTCCCATGCCTGGGAAGGTATGATTAATAATAATACGAGAATATCCGAGATATGGTGAGGTAAAAATGTGGGTTATGCCGAGATAGATAAAGATGAATCTGTCGATATCCTTGCGTTACAAAACCTATCATCATGGGCAGTAGGATCCTCAATGACGGGGTGGTTTGATGTTCAATCTTTGTTTAATCAGATTGGAGAATTGAATTATGACAGAGTCCTGTAAGTGCTGAATTATCGAAGAGCCTCCCCTGGATAAGAATAATGGATGAGAGATTCGTGGGCTTTACACTGTCTGAACACGTGGTTACGTTGGCGGAGGTACCGTCAGTGCGTCACGCGAAAATGTCGAGTTGAATGTTACTCATGTATAAACCCTTCTGCTATTGTAAAGTTTCGCTAGTAATTACCAACTGCTTCCTCAATACGCGTAATTATTGTCTTCATCTTTGGCGGTACGAATTCTGAAAATTTCTCAATTTCGAGGACTGAATGGTGAAATTATAGATGTGAGGAACTATTGTCAGAGATGATTATGTTATTTCTAGTTGCCTTGACCAGAGACGAGAGACATTGAATTGTTTGGGAAATTAACGTGAATTTATTTGAATTGCAATTAAATTTTTTGAAAAAAATCAAATATGCGGGTAGAGATGGATTATTTAAGGCATTTTGCCTTTTCTCTGACACGAGCAACATTTTTTAGTGTCAAGACGATGTCAAGGAAGGGAGAATGGAGAAGAAATTGCAATTTTTTTTTGTATGGGAAAAAAATTGGGGAATTTTTCTTTTCGATGTGAAGTAAAAAATTGAAAATTTCTCAATTTTAATTGAAAGAAAAATAACAAAAATTTTCTGTACGAATTGAAGAAAACTATCGCCAGGTTTTTCTATTGCAATTGAAAACAGAAATCACAGAATTCCAAAAATCGGAAAAATTTTTTTGAATTGAAAAAAAACGCAAAATTTTTTTGTTTAATTCATCGTAAAATTTAATTATCGCCCTCGCCCTCCTCTTCGTTCAACTCCCCCTCCTCAGCAGCAGCCTCCTGATACTATTGATACTCAGACACAAGATCATTCATGAATAATTAAATCACAGACGTGAGGACAATTGGGAAATTAACGTGATTTTATTCGAATTGCAACTTAAATTTTTTGAACAAAATCAAATATCAGAGGAGAGATGGATCGAGGAAATCTGCCATTCGGACGATGTTAAGGAAGGCAGAATGAAGAAGAAAAAAATAGAATTTTTCTTTTCGCTGTGAAGTGCAAAATTGAAAATTTCTCAATTTCAATCGAAGGAAAAATCCCAAAATTTTTCCCTTCGAATTGAAGAAAACCATTACAAGGTTCTTCTCCTCAAATTGAAGTCAGAAATTGCAGAATTCCAAAATCGCAAAAATCTCTTTGAATTAAAGAAAAACATTGGAAAAATATTCTACGAGAAAAAAATTGCAAAATTTTCCAGTTCAATTGATCGAAAAATTAATTATCGCCCTCGCCCTCCTCCTCTTCATCGAACTCGCCCTCCTCCTCGGCAGCAGCCTCCTGGTACTGTTGATACTCAGAGACAAGATCATTCATATTGCTCTCCGCCTCGGTGAATTCCATTTCATCCATTCCCTCCCCCGTGTACCAGTGAAGAAAGGCCTTTCTCCTGAACATGGCCGTAAATTGTTCAGAGACGCGTTTGAACAGCTCCTGAATGGCCGTTGAATTACCGATGAATGTGGCTGACATTTTGAGACCCCTCGGTGGTATGTCACAGACTGCCGTCTTCACATTGCTCGGGATCCATTCAACGAAGTAAGTTGAGTTTTTATTCTGAATGTTGAGCATTTGTTCGTCAACTTCTTTCATGGACATGCGTCCGCGAAAAACGGCAGCGACTGTGAGGTACTTTCCGTGCCTGGGGTCGCAGGCGGCCATCATGTTCTTGGCGTCGAACATCTGCTGGGTCAGCTCGGGGACTGTCAGGGCCCTGTACTGCTGGGACCCGCGGGACGTGAGCGGAGCGAATCCAGGGATGAAGAAGTGGAGGCGGGGGAAGGGCACCATGTTGACAGCGAGCTTTCGCAGGTCGGCGTTGAGTTGTCCCGGGAACCTGAGGCACGTTGTCACTCCACTAAGGGTCGCCGAGACCAAGTGGTTCAGGTCACCGTATGTGGGGGTTGTCAGCTTGAGGGTGCGGAAGCAGATGTCGTAGAGGGCCTCGTTGTCGATGCAGTAGGACTCGTCGGTGTTCTCCACGAGCTGGTGGACTGAGAGGGTGCAGTTGTAGGGCTCGACGACTGTGTCGGATACCTAGAACAAATGGGGCAATTGGATTGGTGACTTTTTTCAGGGGGTTGGTGAGGAACACGTGTGAAAAAATGTAAGGGGGGGACTACTGTGAGTTTTAAGTCGCGGGCGATTGGAGTGAGATTTCCTATGCATTGAAGACACGGACGAAAAAATTTAATAGAAAAACCTATCGAATTCGCTAGAAAATTCTATTGAATTTCTATTGAACTGTTCTATTAGTTTTTGGCCGATTGTATAGAAATGTTCAATAGAAAATATTCAGTAGAAAAAGTCAATAGACTTCAATTTTTCTATATAACTTATTCTATTGAGATATTTTCTATAGAATTTCCTCGGCTCAAATTTTCTAAGTTTTTTCGTTTGATTTTCTTGATGAGAAGAAAAGAAAAATAGAATGAAAAAAGCTTAGAAAATTTGAGTCCAGCAAATTCTATAGAAAATATATGAAAAGAATAAGTTATATAGAAAAATCGAATTCTGTTAACTTTTTCTATTGAACATTTCAATAGAATCAGCCAAAAACTAATAAAAAGATCAATAGAAATTCAGTAAAAGTTTCTAACGAATTCGATAGGTTTTTCTATTAAATTTTTTCGTGCGTGGATTGATTGTGTACATAAAAAAACGAATAATTAGTGATAACAAATTGATTGTTTACTGGTCGTTTGCTCCGTAGACGTTTAAGGTATTAAAAAAGGTTCAGAGCCTCCAATTTTTGAGCTACAGAGGTTTTTTTAAATGTTCTATTATAATTTCACGGAAATTCTAGAGAAAATTCTATTTTTTCGCGACGATTTCTGTTTAAAATTGAACATTTTGCATGGTGATTTTTGTTAAGCGAGCGCTTAACAACCCAGTCGAATTTTTGTTAAGAAAATCGATGTGTTTTCATGTATCTTAGAACTGATTAGATTCTGAGCAACATCTTTTCAAAGATGTTTCATCATTTGAGACTTTTCAATGATTTGTCAATGTGCGTCAATATGGGTTTTTTCATTATTATTTTTTTCCATTCTATTTTTCTGCTTTTTTCGTTAGGAGAATCAAGCAAAAAAGCTTAGAAAATTTGAGCCGAGGAAATTCAATGGAAAATACCTCAATAAAATAAATTGTATAGAAAAATCTGATTCTAATGAATGAAGGAAAGGCGATTGGTCGGGAAGTTATTGGTCCGACCCATAATGGGTCACACCCACTCCAACCCACCCGCAATGGGAGCGAGCGCCCAACAACCCACTCGAATTTTTTTATTAAGGAGAGACTACTGTGAGTTTTAAAAGTCGTGGGTTATTGGAGTGAGACTTTTCATACGTTGAAGATCAGTTATATAGATCTAAAAACGAATAATTAGTGCAAAAAAAATTTTTGTTTATTGTTCGTTTGCCCGAAAACGCTTAAAATTCCAAAAACAGTCCAGGGCCTCCAATTTTTGAGCTACGAATGATTTTTTTTCTCAAAATTTTCGGAAAAATATGTGGAATAACAATTATGAGCGATTTTTTTTTAATTCACCTCTTACATGGCTAAATTTGCTTTTTTATATTTTTTTACACAAATAGTGAATTTTTTTACATGAAAAAAAAAAACAAAATCAGCTGTGTAGGAGTCGAATTTCAAAAAACTTGCTCGTAATTGTTGTTCCACACATTTTTCCGAAAATGTTGAAAAAAAAATCTTTTGTAGCTCAAAAATTGGAGGCCCTGGACTGTTTTTAGCATTTTAAGCGTTTTCGGGCAAACAAACAATAAGAAAAAAATTTTTTGAACTAATTACTCGTTTTCAGATCTATATAATCGATCGTCAACGTATGAAAAGTCTGACTCCAATAACCCACGATCTTTAAAACTCACAGAAGTCTCCCCTTAATTGATGTACCTTTGGAGAAGGTACAACGCTGAAAGTCATCATAATTCTGTCCGGATACTCCTCCCTAATTTTGGAAATTAGTAGGGTCCCCATTCCCGCCCCAGTGCCACCACCAAGTGAGTGGGTCAATTGGAAGCCCTGCAGACAGTCGCAACTCTCCGCCTCTTTTCGCACAACGTCGAGTACCGAATCCACGAGTTCAGCGCCCTCGGTGTAATGACCTTTGGCCCAGTTATTTCCCGCTCCACTCTGGCCAAATACAAAGTTATCTGGACGAAATATCTGTCCAAATGGTCCCGAGCGTACAGCGTCCATAGTACCTGGCTCTAGATCAACCAGAATTGCTCTCGGCACGTATTTTCCGCCAGTTGCCTCGTTGTAGTATACGTTTATTCTCTCCAATTGGAGGTCCGAGTCACCGTGGTAGCAGCCCGTTGGGTCAATTCCATGCTCATCCGAAATAACTTCCCAAAACTGTCGAGAAAAAAATTTAATTGGATTTTCACTCATTCACCTACATTTATCTTGATTTGCGATTGTTTTATTTGACTTGATTACTCTTCGCTCCAAATAAAATTTTCCCATTCACAATTGTAGTAGATAATTAAAAAAATTTTTTTTTTAGTAATAATCTTTTCTACTTCATGAATTGATTTCATTCAACACAGATTTGACCCATTTTTTTTGTCCCTTGGAAAACGTAACTTGTTAGAAATTCATAAAGTTAATGGAATCCTGTTGACTCACTTTCATGCTCGTAAATAACTTTTAAAAACTGCCGAGGAAAAAATTTCAATAGATTTTACTCATTCATCTGAATTTATATTGATGAGCGATCGTTTTATTTGATTCGATTCTACTTAATCCCAAATAAACCTTTCCCATTCATAAATTAATTCTAATGGAAGAAAAATGCATAAAGATAGATTTTGTTATTGGTAAAAATTAATTGTCGATGAATGAATAAATTCAATTAAATTTAATTTGATGTGGGAAATGTTCTTTCATTCACGGATTGATTTTATTCGATAAGGATTTGACAGAACTATTTTTCTCTTTTTCTTCGGAAAATTTAGGTTTTCATTGATGGATAAATTCAATGAATTCGCACTAGTTCAATTTCATATCTGTCTAAGATCTCAAAACTGTCGGGGCAAAAATTGAATTACATTTTCACTCATTCTCCTACAATTATTTTGATTAGCGATCGTTTTATTTAACTCGATTCTTCTGCGCCCAAATAAATCTTTCCTATTCATAAATTAATTCTAATGGCAGAAAATAAATCAATGAATATTAAATTTTCCTTCTGAAAAGCCAATTTACGGTAAATGAAAACTTTTATAAAATTTCATTTAATGTGAATAATTTCTTTTAACCTATAAGTTTATTCAATACAAATTAAATCCCATTTTTTTTTTCATCGGAAAATTCAATAATTTGTGAATGAATAAATTTAATGAACAGGAAATCGTCGGCTTCAATTTAATTGATTTTTTTTCTGTATTTTTTCTCTCTTGAATTAATTTCATTCCATGATAATTCAATGCTTTTTGCTGCTGCTTATTCAGAAAAATAGATTTTTACTGGATTGGAGAATTTAATTGATGTTGATTGCATTGATGAAAGTATTACCTTCGCCCCAATTTGATTGCCGCACTGGCCGGCCTGCAGATGCACAATTTCACGCATTTTCTCGAATTCCTTCTACCTCTTGGCAATAAAGATTTATTCAGCGAATGCTCGACTTTATTATATCACCTCGAGAGGAAAAAAAACGTTCTATCCGATAATCTTCGTCAAACGAGGTCGAGACAAGAGACAATGACTCTGAACCGTGTGAAAAATCACAATCTTATGACAACAACAGGCGATTGTTTTTTTTCTCCAAGGCGACCGAAAGAAAATTTCACGATCGCGTTTTTCCCCCACTTCTGGGGATTTTTTTCCCGAAGACAAAGGACTACGGGTTTGTTCTAACACCTATGTAACAAAAAAAATAAAAAATTTAGAAATTACATTTTTAAATTGATAAAACGAATTCAAACGAATAAAACGAATTCACTGTCGATTTATATCGAAGGCAAATGATTTTAGAAGAAAACGTTAAAAACGTTATTGAAACTAAGAAAATTTTTAGAAAATCTCTCTATATCATAAAAATCCAAATCTACTTCTGATGATAAAAATTTGGTAGTCAAAAGTAAGACTCCAAAATTGAGGGTCACAAGGGTCATGAGTGTTAGAATGAGGGTTATGAGGGTCAGATTAAACGTCATGAGGGTCAAAATAAGGGTCACGAGGGTCACATTAAGGGTCAGAATAAGGGTGCAAATAAGGGTCACAAGGATCAGATTAAGGTTTATATGGGTCAGATTAAGGGTCACAAGATCATGATTAAGGGTTCAAATCAAGGTCATGGGGGTCAGAAACTAAGGGTTATAAGGGTCAAAATAAGGATTGCTATAAAAATTCAAATGAACTTTTGGTGATGGAAATTTGGTGCTCGAAATTAAGACCCCAAAATTAAGGGTTAGAAATGAAGGGTCATGAAGGATATAATGAGAGTCACGATGGTCAGATTAAGGGTCACAAGGGTCTGAATAAAGAACAAGGGGGTCATGCATTTTAATTGCAAATTTTTGCAAATTTTTGCGTGAGAATAATTTGAAAAGTTCATACATGATCAGCCCCATCTAAATGACATTCTGCTATTTTTTTTTTATTCTTACATTCTGCTATTGATGATTTCTTCTCGAAGCATTTTCTTCCTATAAATAAATGATAATTGTTTAAAATTGGGACGAACGGAGTTTCCCCGTATATGCCCAGGTGAATGTTTATATACGTGTGTGCCAATTTTCCAGAAATTGGCTCGATTCACCATAATACCACTTGTATCAAATATAATTCGACAACGTTTGCATGCATTAATCAATCGATCATATCCCCATGATTCTCATGCAATCATTTAATGGGTGCTAATTTCGCCGGATCACTAAAGAATATTCTGCAGTTTGACACTAATTCAGGGATTTTGAATCAGAGATCGTCAGGAAAATAATTTCCTTTAATTAACGTTTCATTTCAATACCAGTGGTTAATGAAAAAAATTGGATTATGATTTTTTCGTAATGAATAATAATTCCAAATGTTTTTTTCATTGCGATACTAATGAGGAATGGAAATAAAAAAGGAAACAAAGAATTTTTTTTTTCAATCAATGATAGTATAAAATTAATTTCCATTCATGTGTCAATAATGAAATGCTATTCATTGTTCACTATAATAGTAGTGGATAATGGGAAGTTGAAAGTACGGTGACTTTCGTCACAAATAATTGAAATCTTTCGATTTTCATTATTGATTGAATGATAACTCTAAAATGTCCAAGAGTAATTCCTGATTAGATAAATAATAATGTTCACTTTAAATTATTACTCATTGATATGGTATTGAAAAATATGAATTTCTCAATATTTATTTATAATATAATATAAAATATTTTTTGTCATTCCGGCCGTGAGTCAGCGCTTCACGGACGCTCCGCGTCCGTGAATCTCTGCCTACGGCCATCATAACAAAAAATTCTGTTCGTCATACGGCCAAAAAAAAACTTTTCATGCAAACTCATATTCGCCAGAAAAGTTTTTTTCGGCCTAGTGACGAAATATACTATACCCGTCATTAGTGATTAAGCAAAGTTATATATATTCATAAATTTGCTTAATCACTAATAACGGGTTTTACTTTTGCTTAACTTATAGGGGAGGTTGGGGTAAAACGGACACTTTTAATGACGGGTTGAAATGTTAATAAAATTTAATTTTTTTTTTCATTGCAAAGAACAGTCTTTCCCTTTGTGATGAGCCTAAACTGAGCTCAATTGATAAATTTGTTTCTGAGTTATGAGTAATTACACCAAAACTCTAAAGTGTCCCTTTTACCCCACTCTCCCCTAAAGAAATATGAATTTTAAAAAATACTCAGGACCCTGAGTCTCTTCAACGGGGGCTCACATAGAAGTGTTGATGTGAAAGTGTTGAAGTGAAAATGCAGAAGAGAGTTTCATAAAAAAAATAGTCAAAGTTCTTGAATAAAAAAATCTTAAAAAAAATCATAGCCCTAAAATTTCACCTGGATCCGAAAACATCGATAACGAGTGCAATCCAAAATTCCCTGTCTCATGTTTTCCCGCTGTCATCCCAAACGCGTTGACTCACTCTCAGAATTAATGACAGCGCGAAAGCGAGTTGAACGGACTGCTTCATTGAGCATAAGCTCGCTTGTCATTCGACGTGAATATAAACTACTTGGCGTGACTCCCACGTAAGTGCACGTTTGACGGCGTCCACGGATGACTCGCGCATTGCGCAATTGTGGTGGATAATAACAGTCCATGTAATTTCATTTCTCATACATCATAAATCATTGTCATTTATTCTGCTGTGATATTTTCTAATGGAACGATCACTCATGTGCATTCACATTTAGTCAAAATATTTTTTCGTTGTTTAAATTGTTCTTATGTCGTTAATTAATGGAACAAATCTTGGAGGATCGATCCATATGATTCTATAAATACAAATCGCACTAGAAGAACTTCATTAATTTCGCCAATATTTTTATTTGATTTTATCCATTCAATGTTTGCCTCGCATTACGGAGAAGAATTTTTCCATTTTTTTTCAAGTTAACGTCTTGAGGGGTATCGATTTATTCAGGAGAGTGAGGGAAACCTAACGCAACAATGGCAAAAAAATTTATTTGTGAGCAACAATAGCTGCAGGGAAAAAAATTAAATGGAGAAATACCTGAGATCACCGCTATTTCGTCTGAGTTCTATACGAGCGAAGCACTCCAATCTTTATTTTCATCTTTATTGGAAAAGACTCCACACTGAGAGAAAAAATTTGCTCGGCCGAAGAACCATATGCTCCGAGTGAGATTTGATGGAGGGGAACAGATTTACTTGAGGAAAATTAACCAACTTGATAAAAGAAAATGTAATATTCTTCACAAAAATTGAATTTTTGTCGTGATCATCAGAAAAAATTAAATAGAAAAACTTGGCGAATTCTATGGAACGATTCAGCTGCTGCTAACGAGCCTTTTTAACTATCAATACCATTTTTTTATGGTGTGGTGTAATTTTAATTTCTCTAAAACTCCTGCGCCGAGGAGGATGATGCCTTGTGTCACGCGGTAGTTTTCCCAAAATTCTCATGACTTTGACTGTATATTCTAATTCCTATTGAATACTCAAATAATTAATGTCGGAACAAGGGATAGTCCTTTGCCTTCCGCAGTGAAAACGACGGAATTTTCGTGCCGAAGTGCTCCGCTCGTACAAATCTCATGCAAAAATGCTGCATTCTCAGGTCTCTCATCGTTTTCTTTTTTTCCGCGTGAAAACTTGAAATTTTTAATAACATTTCTTCAGGACTTCGAAACAGTCGGTCATGTTTTCTTAAGATGTCCCCTAGATTTCAGTATCTGAACTCATACTTTGTGAATGGATGGACGATTGAAAATTTATGTGTTTTTGTAGACTGCGGTGCAGAGGAGAGTACGAAAGCTCTATATTTTTATATTTGTGATGCAATGAGAATCAGGGAAGAGATCTTAGACATTAGTTAACTTTTACCCTACAACGAGGAATATTTTATTTAGTCTGTCTGGCTTCAATCAATGCAGATTATTCCTAAAATTATCTTTCCTGTTTCTCGCTCGGTCTCTCACTCTCCTTCTATACGAACTTCAAGATTACACACAATCTAAGCCTAATTTGTACCAAAAGCCTTTATTCTTTTGTTTTTTTTTTGCTAAATGATGTTTTAGACTTGGTGACCTTTCTCATCTTTTGAAATTTATATCATTTGTATTATGTTGTAACTATCTGTCCTCCCCCCCCCTTGCTAAGAGGAAACAACTCAAAAGCAATAAATGAAATAAATAAATACCATTGCCACAGAAATTCTCATAGAAAATGCTAAATTTTTCCATTGAATTCGTTCATAACTATAATTTTTAAACCAATTGTTATCTAAGGAAGATGATCATTCCATCCATTACATAATCATCCTCCTAATCATAGGATTGAATTCAAGTAATTAACCCGCAATGTAATTTTAATTAATAAAAATTACATTGAAACACTTCCATCAACTTAACAGATATTTAACTTTACCTTACAACGAGGAATAATTTATTTAGTCTGTCTGGCTTCAATCAATGTAGATTATTCCTAAAATTATCTTTCCTGTTTCTCGCTCGGTCTCTCTCTCCTTCTAAACGAACTCCAAGATTACACACAATCTAAGCCTAATTTGTACCAAAAGCCTTTATTCTTCCGTTTTTTTGCTAAATGATGTTTTAGACTTAGTGACCTTTCTCTTCTTTTGAAGTTTATATCTGTTTGTAGTATTTAGTAACCCCCTGCCCCCCCCCCTTGCTAAGAGGGAACAACTCAAAAGCAATAAACGAAATAAATAAATACCATTTCCACAGAAATTCTCATAGAAAATACTAAATTTTTCCGTTGAATTCGTTCATATCTATAATTTTTAAACCAATTGCTATTTAAGGAAGATGGCCATTCCATCCATTACATAATCCTCCTCCTAATCATCAGACAGAGTTTAAGTAATTAACCCGCATAATCTTAATTAATCAAAATTACATTGAAATCCTTCCATTAACTTTACAGATATTTTTCAATCGATCCTATTCATTCCGTTTTCTTTCCTCATCATAAGTTTGATGAACTAATCTAGCAATAAGATCACGGAATCGTGCAGAAGAATAAGGATTAGGTATTCCATAATTAACGAAATAATCACTAACAACCATTTAGCTGAACAATCGATTTTATTCGAACAAATTCCAGAAAAAAAAATTAGGATTTTGCCAGTGAAAGTCTGCGTGTGAGATCAAGCGCTTGTGGCACCATCGCTCAGCCACTTGTTGGACCATGATTGCGTGATCTATCGACAAATTGCCCACTTGGTAAATCAGTCCCTCGATCCTCGGCGGATTGACATTGGAAATCTTCTTAATCGTCATCCTCCCTCGATTACAGGATAGTCCTCACAGAGCCGAAGCCGACTGGACTGATGGGCAATTAAAGGTCCTCATTCGAAAGTTGCGCTGATTTTTCTCAATCGATGATTTTTAACGACGAGCAGCGATGATGGGGGCAGCGAAGGGGTAGGCTGAGTACGCAGCAGGGGCGTATGCTGAGGGGTAGGCGTACGACGAGTAAGCCAGGGCTGGGGCTGCTATTGCAGGAGCTGCAACAGCTGGCGCTGCTACGTACGGGGCTGCGTATGCGTGATTTACTGAGTGTGCGTTGTAACTACTCGCGTATGTGCCCACTGTCAGTGCTGCAGGTACTGCCGCTGGAACGATCGCACCGGCTGAGCAGACGGCCACGAAGGCGAACAAGAGGATCTGAAAAAAATTGAAAAATTGTTGGATTCAATTTTTTTTAACGAGTCTCTGAAAAAATTAAAAAATTGTTGTATAATTTTTTTTGCGAAGCTTTTCAATTTTTTTTTTTTACATTCTCCTCGTTCGTTTGAGAGGGGATATTCAGAGAGGGGTGGGGGAGGGGTGTTGAATTTGGTACAGTGAGAAATAAATGTAAATCTGCTAATTAAATTTTTTTCAGACAAACAAATGCCGAAAATTTCCATACAAAATCCCGCTATAAATTATTGTTTGAAACACATTCTGTGTTTTTCTGAATGCAGGCGAGGGTAGAATGGGATAGTCTACGGAACTTTGAGATGAGTTTGTTCAGAAATATTTCAGAATCTGAGGAAGACGCAATTTGCTCTGTGAGAAACATTTTGACGAAATTTTCGGTAGGAAATTTTATTGGAATTTTGTTGAAAATATCTTTTTATTTCAAATATTTGATAGAAAATATTGGAGGAACCAAAATTAATGGATGAAATTTCACAGCATAAACTTTATACGTTTTTTTTGTTTTTTCTCAATATAACATTTAAAGAAATTTGAAATCGATATTTAATTTAAAAAAGATATTCTATATTGGAATTGCAATAGAAATACAATAGAATTTGCGAGCAGGTATTTCTATGAAATTTTTGCACACGTGTTAGATTTCCATATTTATCTAACTCTCCAATAATCGATTCATCTTATTTTTACCATTCGCTACTAAATGAAGAATAAAATGCTCTATTCTAAGAAATCTCGAGTTTCTGATCTAATGAAACCCTATTCTTCCGTGAAATAAGAGATCCTGGAATCAAAGCAACCTCTCAATTCAGCGTTCATTTCTACGGAAATCCGGGTTTCTAACAGTCAGAAATTGGAGATTTCTTGATATACCCAATACATATTTTCCTCAATTCAAAGACTTTATTTGTGTTTCTAAAATTGCAAAATTCAACTCTATTTCTTTTATTCAAACAATTAGAAATTGGAGATTTTCCGAATTACCCAAAATATTTTACCCCAAGCAAAAGACTATTCAAAAACTTTTTTATTTGTAAAGTTCGCAAAATTCAAGTGCATCCATTTTATTCAAACAATCAAAAATTGGAAATTTTCCGAATTATCCAAGACATTTTTTCCTCAATTCAAATACTTTTTTTTTCTTTCAAAATTGCAAAATTCATCATCCCGCCTTCTATTCAATTTAGTATCAATTATAAAACCGAATTTTCGATTTACTTTGATTTTTTCCCATAATTTGAATTTAAAAAACGGGAATATATCGAAGCCTATTGAATGCTACTTACGAGGCACTTGGTCATCATTTTGATTGTTTTGAGGGTTTGCTCTGCTTCACTGGGAAAACTGATGTTGAATCGATATCGGGCATCGTCTTTTATACCCAGTTGTCTTCGGTCAGACTACCAACAAAGGAATTCAATCCCCCACCAAGAGGTAGCCTCCCCCTTTAACAAAACAGTTTCAGCATTACTCGACATACTAGATGGCCTCCTGGAGGTATCCACCAAGCCACACCCGATTGGCTACTCTTCCACAAGGGGGAGCCATCGAGAGCCACTCGGTGGCCCATACAACGATTTTTTATTTTTTACTCATTCCCCTCCCCCCCCCCC